GGAGGTAGGTCCGGACCACGCACGTAAATCGAGGTCGGACAAAAAGAAAGTTTTTAGGCCTCGAAACGCTGAATTTGTTTCTAAAACAAGTGATGACCTTTTGAGTCATCACATCTTAATACAGTCAACCATGTGCAAATGTGACCCAAATGGAATAAAGTAGATACAACTTTGTGCTCCATGCCCTATGTGTAGCTGCCACAAGAGTTTTGCTATCACATAGTATGATCCCTTATCTTTGTAATTACTTGTAAATAACTTTAATAGATAGAAATAAGCGGAGACTAATTTATCATTTCAATTTTATGGATTTAACCTTTAAATCTATTAACATTGAACTCATTATATTTTTAAATTTATGGATACAGACCTACCATTTGTTGTCTGCATCAACTGTTATGAGTTCAGATAAACCCGTCACTGCGTCTCCACATCTGCCCCAGGAAATACGTGTTCGTGATAAAATCACAACATCTTGGTCTATGCATATAGTGATATAGATAAGACGATGAATTTAAGGATAATTAAGAGAATAATGTTAAGTTTCTTCTTTGCATCATAGCTAAATAACGAAAATTGAGAGTTTAATTTGTCTTCATCAATCACCATGACATAGAGAACTTGAACAAAATAAATTTATAGTATGTGTAATGGAATTTCGGAGAACCTTTTTTTTGAAAAATATGTTCTGGAAAAAATAAGTCATTTTCCAGATTTTGGTATGTCTGGAATGACGAAAAATATTTTTCTAAAATAGTATTTTTAAAAAGTTTAGTCAGTTTTTGGTGTCTGGTAACGAGAAAATATTTTTCACCAAATGAGAAAAATGAATTTTCTCACTTTTGGGGAAGTCATGCCTCATTACTATACTCCAACCAAACACCTGGACTTTAGTAAGGGTATTAATCTATAGTACTCAAAGCTCCATCAAAATACTATTTCTAACACTATTATCAATCTTTAATAAATATTTTACGAGAAGTTTTTTTTTTTCACCATCCAACAAAACATCCAAAAATATTCTTTAGAAAAAATATTCTCCAAATAATAAGATATTTTTTGAAATTGTTCTTTATCGTACTAAAATAGTAAATCTGATAGTGTTTAGATGTATTAGTTGGTTGAAGCAATGATATCAATTTAAAAGCTAAGATGGTAGTGAATATAAATACATCTTCTACACATAAGTGAGAGAAATTATCTTCTCCCTTCAAAAATTTAGGGCAAAATATAAAATTAATCGCCGGCTGAAACTAATTGCATTATCTAGTCAAAATATTTAGGGTAAAGAATTGCAAGGCTAGGCCAAAATTTTAGCTAAAGAGTAACAGGTGGCTATATATGTAAAACTAATTACAGACTTTACAAAAATGTATTGGCCAGATCAGCTGGTTGGGCCTGCTCGCGTGGGCTTCTGTATGTGAAGAGGTCCAGTGTTAACAGAACATTTGCTCATTTATTAGTAAAAATTGCACGGGGCGCTCTATTTGGTCGCCCCCATTTAACCTATACCCATTTTTTTTTTGAAACTTTTAACTTGTACCCACTTTTTAAATAACTTCAGCCCCCTTTCTCCTCCTCCTTCTCCTCCTTCGTTTTCTTCTTCTTCTTCTTCTTCTTTCTTCTGCTGCTGTTGGTGCTGCTATGGAACTTCAGTTCATGGGATGATTGCCATAAATATGTTTATCAGATTATTTAAAAACAAATTATAAATAATTACGTAAGTTAGTAGACAATAATTTATGAATATTTCCACGTACGTAAGTTAGTAGACGATGATAATTCTGTTCTTTTCACGTTTATTGTTTTCAAATTTTATGATTTAGATACTGTTGGCAATCTGATTATTTATCTAGTATGTTAGAAAACTTTTTCAAAAACTTCAGCTTATACAGTGCTGAAGTTTTTACAAATGAACTAAATAACTTCAGCTCTAGAGCTGAAGTTCGACAGTTACAAAACAAAAACTTCAGCTCTGAAGTTTGCCTAGTTACAAACAANTCTTATGTGAAATTTTCCCTATTTTATCTGCTTTGGATTGGATTGTGCATAAATAGATTTGTTAGATGATAACAGTGGGACCGTGTATTTACATTTTTGCAAGCTGGTTCATTTTTACGTCCTTTCTTTATGCAAATCGTCTACTATCTTGAACTGCACATACTGTGAAGCCAATGGTTTGGAATATGCTACCTTCAGTAGTTAAGTTTCTGGAGTTCGCTGTTGTTTGCAGCCTATATTATTAATTAATAGCTAAGGCAAAATAAAAACTTCAGCTCTAGAGCTGAAGTTCGACAGTTACAAAATAAAAACTTCAACTCTAGAGCTGAAGTTCGCCAGTTACAAAATAAAAACTTCAGCTCTAGAGTTGAAGTTCGCCAGTTACAAAAACAAAAACTTCAACTCTAGAGCTGAAGTTCGCCAGTTACAAATCAAAAACTTCAGCTCTAGAGCTGAAGTTTGCCAGTTACAAAACAAAAACTTCAGCTCTAGAACTGAAGTTCGCCAGTTACAAAAACAAAAACTTCAGCTCTAGAGCTGAAGTTCACCAGTTACAAAACAAAAACTTCAGGCCCGTCTACTAGAATGTTGAAGTTTTGCGTGACTTCAGCCCCGTATGCTAAAGTTATGCGAAAAAACGGGTACGCGTGTAATTTTTTTTTGCAAAGCGGGCACAAGTTAAAACGTGACACAAAAAACGGGTATAGATGCAAATGCCCCATTTATTACCCAAACCTTTGTCAAATCGCGATCCATGAATTCCATGACAAATTTCTGTTATGGCCTATAAATGAATGGGGAAGTGCACAACTAGCCACTAATTATAGATGTCTTTATTCTTTAGCCAATGTTTAAAATATATTTACTCTTTAACCAGTGCTTAATAAATTTTTACCCACCCGAATGAAAATATCCCTATGCTAGACATGAGTGTTGTGTAAATATTAGGGACATGGTGTCCTTTATTTCATGAATATTGTGTAAATATTAAGGACAAAGTCTCCTGCATTTGTACATTCCGTTGTTAAATTTTAGGACATCATGTCCTTAACTTCATATGTACAGTGTAAATGTTAAGGACATGGCGCCCTTAACTTCATCTGTGCAGTGTATATATTAAGGAGATGATATCCTTAATTTGTATTTGCACCTTCTGTTGTTAAAATTTTGGACCTCTTGTCCTTAACTTCATATGTGCAGTATAAATTTTAAGGACATGGTGTCCTTAACTTCATGTGTGCAGTGTAAATGTTAAGGACACAGTGTCCTTAACTTTATGAGTTTTGTGTAAATATTAAGGACATGGTGTCCTTAATTTCATGAGTGTTGTGTAAATATTAAGGACAAAGTGTCCTGTATTTGCACATTCCATTGTTAAACTTTAGGACATCATGTCATTAACTTCATATGTGCAGTGTAAATATTACATTACATCCTTAACTTCACATGTGCAGTGTAAATGTTAAGGACACCATGTCCTTAATATTTACACAGCACTCATGAAGAAAGGGTAAAAATATCTTTTCGTATTAATTTTAATAGAGTAGTGGCTATTTTTGCTGAGAATTAAAAATACTGAATAAAAACTAAATACCATATTAAAAAGTGGCTATCCCACGCCATTTCTACCAAATGAATCCGGTGAAAAATGGGCTTGAGTTATAAATGGGCCTTCGCTACTAAAGATAGTGGGCCTTCTATTCAGTTAAGCCTAGTATTGTTGAAGAAATAAGGTGACGAGGACATGAACTCGATCATTCTCGACTGAATTAGCAATGGGATCAATAATTAAGAACACAAATAATTAACAAAAAGGAGACATCTTGAGATGCAAATTTGAAAAAGCATTACATAAAACTAATAAAGAAGTCTTTTTACATAAAAACAAAAAAAAAGCATATGATGGGCATATATCCTACGGTAAGCTAAGACAATTTAGTACTCCCTTTGTCTTAATTTATGTGATATTTTTTTTTTATCTTTAAAGATAATGTAAATTTTATTTAATCTTAATGAGATCATTTATTGGCATAAAAATATTTAAGAATTTATTTTAGATCATAAATTTCATATATTTTTTTCCTTAAAGGATATGCCTAGTCAAACATCCTCGTATAAATTGTGACGGATAGAGTACCTAGCAATATATATCATGAGGAAATATTTTAGGATGAACAAAAACTTTAATGAATATATTTATTCAAGCCGGAAAATAAATAGACACGGTTGTAGTTATCATTCGTCTATGAAGTTGTTGGAAAATTTTAAAACTTAAATTTCGGAAAAAATTTAAAAAGTACATAAAAGAAAACCACTTGCTAAATAATTATACCAACTTTGGTAGCCACTTCTCTTTGACACATTAACTTTTGGGACCCCTTGAGTCGTGCTCTCCTCCTCACCTAAACCACTTTTCCCACTTGATTTCACTTTTTCTTCATATCTTGTGAACTTTATCATGTAAAAGACCCCACTATGAGAGCTTAAATAATTTCCTACTTAAAAAAGAACTTAGTTTTCTTATTTTAAAATATTCGAGTTAGAGAATGAAAAACTTCTTGGTGGAGAGTACTTTACTCCTTTAGTAGATTTAGCGCGTAAATAATGATACCTGTTGGAAAAATTTACCGATAAGGGGTGCTAGCTAATTAGCCGGCACATTAGGTCTAACCCTAAACTTTGGTGTAGTCTATATAAATACCACTATGAGTGTTGGGAGACTCACTTGTTCACAAGAGAGGGCGGCTAGTGTAAGTTCTATGCATCTAAACTTAGGATATAATCAGGCTGGATCTGCCACATGAGGATTCCCGACGATCAGTAGTTCGAGTCAGATTGCTACAGACGATCCGCTTTTGCTAAGGAAACATACTGTAAATTTCTTTACTAATTTTATTATGGGACTGATAAATTTTGAATACCGAATAGTTAAACCAAATAAAAAAGTTTAAGTTGTATTGAAAGTGTGAAATACAATATAAAATTTCTCCTTCCAACTCTTCTCAACTCCCATTCTCCACCAACCTTTTTGACCATAGTTTATTCCTCCACTTTTGATCTGCTTTCACACAACCCCAACCTTGACTACTCATTATTGGTTTCTCATTTCTTAGTTTAAAAAATACAACCCTCAAAACCCAAGAAAAGAAAAAGTTGTTATTATATCTCCATTTTCTTGATTTTAGCTTTAATGGAATCACCATCAATTTCCCAAGAAGTTGACAATGAGCTTCAAGCTGAAGTTCTTTCTCCTTCTTCATCTATGGCTGACACTATTATAAAGCCTATTTCAAGAACAACTGTTAATTTTGCTATGGGCAAACATCGTATGGCTGCTGCCATTTCTTCTCTCGATCAGCAAATCCAATTTATTCAGGTCTTCATTTCTTTAATATTTTCCTTTATAATAGTCAAGGCATGATTTTCGTCTGTGTAAAACGGGGTTGTCTTTTCGTTGAGTCGGGAAGACGATCCAAATCGTAGTCAGTATTTATTATTTTATTGAACACGATGTGGTTTGCTAGTCGCTGAAATTATTATTATTATTATTATTATTATTATTATTATTATTAATATTATTATTCGCATTTGAAGTTAGGTGTTGTAAATTTAAATTGTAGGAAGAATTGGAGCAGCTTGAATCATATGGAGAGGCCTCCATAGTCTGCAAAGAGTAAGTATTTAGATTATTCATTTCTTCATCACTTTCTTTTTTATATTAACAATCTCAAAGAGTTTTTCTTTGCTCTTTGTCATATTGGTTTCCTTTATTTAATTATTCTCCAAAATTAAATAACAGGGAACATAATTCTGGAACATCATAAGAACAAATGCAAATTCTTTGTAAAAGTGAGTTATGCAAAATGTACAAAATAAAGATTTATATCCGTTCTTTTCTGAATTTCTTTATAAAATTATTTCCTTATTTTTTTATTTTGTCATATGCTTGGATTGTTTAAAATAAAATACACTATCTTAAGTATTTTGTTTCAAAAGTATAAGAAAAAATCTTAAGTTGAGTCTGCTTATTTTATAAAATTTTGTTGCAGATTTCTTTCAGTCGTTGAATCCAAACCAGATGCTCTGCTTCCAGTGTAAGAATTATCACAATTTATACTTTTTATGAGTGTTATTTTTTCAAATTTTATTTTCTATTTCAGCTGCCTCCATAAGCAAATATAACACTATTTTCTTATTGACCATTTTTTAAAATAATGACATATTTTATAAATTTGAGAATAAAATTTAAGCTTCTTATTTTGTCTTTAATGAGAAGTTATCATAGCCACAATTTTTATAAGTTTATACCACAGGTTTCAAATCTTATTGCTATACAAATTTTATAGTATTTCTAGGATTATAAAATTTAAAAATATTTTTTATTTCTAAACTCTGAAGACATAGGTCATCACATAAATTACAAAAGAAGAATTAACCTATATAGCCGTCTACCCAATCGCTTAAAGTAAATATAACAGGGGATGTATAATATGTGTATAACCGTGAATAATACAATGAATAATCTATATATACTGATTAAAAAAAGTAAACGGTAAATCCGGCCTGCTATTTGTGGAAAGATCTTAAAAGGACCCCTAAAGAGATTCAAATGGGTTTCCATAGTGTCTTGTAAATTAAGCCAACTTTCCTAATCACCGTTTTTGTAACTTGTAGTGTTTAGAGCCCGTTTGGACCATGGACATAAGAAATTTTTCCCTTTTTTCCAAAAAGTTTTCACTTTTTTTCGAAATCAACGATTGTTCATAAAATTTTCAATTTTTACTTGAAGATGCATTTTGGAAATTTTCGAAAATTTGAAATACTCCAAAAAGTTATTTTTCAAAAATTTCACTCAAATAACTCACAAAACTTCAAAAATAATCCAAAATTATATTCATGTCCAAACACAACTCTAAATTTCAAATACCATTTTCACTAGAAATTTCTTTCCACCTTTTTTTGGAATTTACAACAGGCGTCTATTATTGAATTCACCCGACCCCTGACTCATTGTACTAGTTACTGCTATAGCTAGTGTACAAGAAATAACATTGTTATCTTTGTGTCATCTCTTTTTTTTTTTGGTTTCCAATCCGGTATTCGAAACTCGCATTGGAGCCTAACTATATCCGACTTCGTGCCGCGTAGGGCCCCATCGGGAGTGGGGGGGGGGGGGGGGGTAGAGGGAGGGGGAGGGGGGAGCGCTCCTTACTACGGATTTTCCATACTCAGGGCTCGAACCCGAAACCTCTAGTTAAGGAAAGAACAGCCCCATCCGCTGCACCATATTTTTTGGTGTTTTTGTGTTATTTCACCTAGAAATTTAGACATCATTTCAACCATAATGGTATTCCTCTTTTGGGCTCCACAGAGTTTGAAAACGTGGTGGATGGAAAACAATAGCTTATAAGCTTCGGCCTAGCTTTTCCAAGGCCAAAAGTCAATTTTTCAAAAGAGTATTTTTTTTAAAAAAGTTGAAGTGTTTGGCTAAGTTTTTAGAAGAAAAAACCGTTTGAGCAGAAGTAGAAGCAAAAAAAACAGCTGCTTCCCAAAAGCACTTTTTGAAAAGCACTTTGAGAAAAATACACTTAGAACACTTTTTACAAGCTTGGCTAAAAATTAATTGTTGTTCAAAAGTAATTTTCAAATTAATTAACCAAACACATAAACTGCTTCTCACCAACTATTTTTGAAAAAAATACTTTTGAAAAAAAACGCTTTTCAAAATAAGCTGATTTTAGAAGCTTGGCCAAACATGCTATTAGATTAGATATGACCTTTCAAAAAGAAACTATGGTTTCGTTATGACCAATTAGGGAAAAAAAATATAGAAAAAGTTATTTTGAACAACAACATCAATTGCTTCGAGATGAAAATTCCTCATTTCTCTTGTTTAGTTTTACAAATGAAAAGAAGAAAGACATATGTAGCGCAGAGATTTTCAAAATTCTTATTTATTTTTATAGTTTGACTTAAATATCTCTAATTTTAACACAAAATATTATATCACAATCTAAAAAAGTTATGTGACACAACTAATAAAAGATATTAGTAGTCCCAAGGACTTTGGTCTAGTGTTAAGAATACAATATGTAACGTGTGAGTTAGATGCATGTTGCAAGTTTGAACCTCCTGGAAACAAAAATTTGATAGGGATGTGTGTGTATGCGTCAGTATGTGCAAGTATTATTGCATGTAGTGTGCTCTTACAAGTGAAAGGAGACCGGAAGTGAAGCCCGTAAAAAATTAAAAAAAATTAAAAGAGAAGTGAGTGACGATAATATACTTAAACCTGCAGAAGATACAATTAGAGTGAAATAATTAAACTAGGCGGCAGAGCCGACCATATAAATAAGATGCAATAAAATAAATGAGGTGGCTTAGCCAACCATAATTCTAGAGTAATATAAAAATAAACTTGATTGTTATTCAAATTGAAAAATTGATATTACAAGCCAAAAACTTATAATAGTATGCTAGAGGGAGTAAGCTTTGACCAATTCTAGAGAGGGAGAGAATTCTTTCTCAAGTGGTAGTGTAATGTAGTATGTTTTTACTAGTGATAGGGGGAACTATTTATAGCATAAAGCTAAAATAAGATACTGATTCCTAATGTCATTGATGTTGTTATTAGGAGTAAGTGCTTGCTGATGTCATGAGCTATGATATCAATATGTTGTCATGCTGATATAATCCATGACTATTTTCTCAGTATTATATCGGGGTCTTCTTCTTCTTCTTCTTCTGATGATTTTCAGACGAAGATGCTTGACATTGTTGACTTGGAATTTGTGTCTTGATTTGGCAGAGAATTTTTTTTATTTGCTGGATAAAATCAAGTTTGTTGCTGGAATTAGCTAGTTGTGCAGTTGCAATAGATTTCTGCTGTAAAAATGAAATTTGGGCAGAATAAGGCCAGATATTGTGAATTAGTCAAAAATCACTTGTCTATTGCTGGGACATATGCATCAGACGGATCTCAATTTTTGTATCACTTGCAGTGGCCTTGGAGGGCTAACCACAGTAGTCCTTTGTATTCTTCTGGTTTGTGGAAGAAAAACTTCTGGGAATAGATCCACGGGATGTGAAATCCGTGGAAAAATCAGGGGAGTATGGGTATTTGTTTCTCACTTGAATACCTGTGGCAAAAATAGTCATATCCTTCTTTTATTGGCGAAAGGACAATTTCAACCTTATGACCGTAAGCATGCCACCACTAATGCATAAACCACTGGGAATTCAGAGGTTAATTGTTTATCCCGGAGGATAAATCATGAATGTTTTTCAAGTTGATTTTGGAAGATGAAAGCATTCATCTACACTGCCTGGTAGTCATAATAATTATAATATTATGGTTCAAAAGATTGAGAAAGCTTTTAGTATTTAGCTGGATGTGTTCCCTATTCTTTCGGTGAGATTATTTTGTTAATCCACACTGTGATATGTGTGACATATGACTGGGTTTACTTATCTTTGTGGGATATAAATAAGCAGGATCTGGTATTTGTGAGAATGAACTTATAGCATTTTTGGGTATAGTTGGGAGAAATTTTTTATATGAAATTGGCTGAAGGGCTAAGTATTTGCTTAGCTACCTCTTGGGGATTGGAATACCAGAATTCTGGTTTCAATTTAAATAAGTGGGTAAACACTTTCATTCTTAATGTAAGTGGGTTCCTCGGAGGAGGAGCCTTTGCTTGAAGAAATATGTTGTGGCACTGATAAAGAAAGTGCTTGATTGGGTAGCGAATGCACCGAGCTTGTATTCTGTGGGATGATAGATAGACATCCAGTGCGTGTAATGCGGCATTTAGCCTCCACTTATTTTTGTGTGGTGCTTTTAGCAACCACATGACGTGAGGAGTCTGTGTGGCTTTGGGCCCCCACGAGGTTAGAAGAAGATGCATGGCTTTGTGCCGCCACATTAGAACAATAATTTCGATACAATTGATACTGATCTCTCAGTTATTTTCTGAAAAAGTCCAGGCATGGTTATTTGATTTTTGAATCCCATGAGTTGGCACCAATGCATGAATTCTTCATTCGACCAAGGAGAAGACATGGTTTGGGCTAGTTGAGTTTGAGCTTGTTGAGATTCTTTTTCCTGAACTAAGTCTGTCCACTTCTTTGGAGTGAAATTGTAATGAGCTCTGAATTTTCTAAGAGATAAGCTTGGGGAGCTCCGCTCATTGCGTAATCTGATGGTTTTCTGTAGTTGGTTGGCTTCGTCCAGTTGTGTCTCTTGAGGGTTGCTTGGAGGCAACTGAAATGATTTGTTGTTGGGTTACAACATCTGTTTGGGACTGTTTGGGTACTGCTTCAGTCATATTTTCCTTTAGTGGAGGAAGAGCAGGTATTGAGTATCCGAAATTTCTGTCTTTTTTTTCCTAGGTATTTTATTTCCCCTACAAAAATTCTCGAGTAAGAAAATCTAAAATATAGTATGAGCTCCCTGAAGTTGGAGAAGGGAAGAAATTTTAGGAAGGGGAAGAGAAAAGGTGAAAGAAAGCCATAGCCAAATTTGCAAGTAATTAGGTAAAGAATTTATTGATCCATGTGTTCATAAATCTAAGTTTATTGATCCATCAATTCCATATAACTACAAGTTAAAAATAAGAATAATAATTCTTACTTCCTCCCATGGCTCTGATACCAAATGGAGCTTAAACTATATTTCAGATTTTTTTATCTGAAAATTATTGCAGGGGAGATAAAATGCCTAAGAAAGAAAAAAGACATAAATTTCGAATACTCAAATACCTGCTCTTCCTCCGCCAGAGGGAAATATGAATAAAACAATATCCAAACAATCCCAAATAGACATTTTATCCTAACGAAAAACCATTTCAGTTGCCAAGTAACCCTCAAAAGACACAACCGGACCAAGCCAGCCCAACTACAGAAAACCATCAGACTACGCCATGAGCGGGATTCCTCAAGCTTATTTCTTAGAAAATTCAGAGCCCATTCCAATTTCTAGTCCAGAGAAATGGGCAGACATAATTAAGGAAGAAGAATCTCAACAAGCTCAAACTCAACTAGTCCAGACCATGTCTTTTCCTTGGTCGGATGAAGAATTCACACGCCAACTCATGGGATTCAAAAATCAAATGACCATGCCTGACCTTTTTAGAAAATAACTGAGAGATCAATATCAATATTATTGTTCTAATAAAGCGGCACAAAGCCACGCATCTTCTTCCAACCTCGTGGCGACCCAAGCCATACAACCTTCTCATATTTGTGGTTGCTAAAAGCACCACACAAAAATCAGTTGAGGCTAAAAGCCCCATTGCACGCACCGGATGTCTATCCAACGTCCCACAAAATAAAACATGGTGCGTTCGGCACCAGTGCTACACCCTATTTCTTTAAGAAAAGGCTCCTCCTTTGAGGAACCCACTTACATTAAGAATGAAAGTGTCTAATCACTTGTCAAATTGAACCAGAATTCTGAGATTCCAATCCCCAAGAGGTAGCTAAGCAAATACTTAGCCCTTCAACCAATTTCACACAAAAATCTCCCAACTATACTCAAAAATACTATGAGTTCATTTTCACAGACACCAAATCTTGCTTATTTAAACCCTACAAAGATAAGAAGACACAGTCATATGTCATACATACTATGGTGTGGATTAAAAAAATAGTCTCATCAAAAGAATAAGGAACATATCTAGCTAAATACAAAAAGGTTTCTCAACCTTTTGATCCACAATTGTATAATTATTATGACTACGAGGTAGCGTGGATGAATGCTTTCACCTTCCAAAACCAACTTGAAAAACATTCATGGTTTATCTTCCGGGATAACAATTAACCTCTGAATTCCCTCAGTGGTTTATGCATCAGTGGTGGCCTGCTTACGGTCCTAAGGTTGAAGTTCTCCCTTCGCCAGTAAAAGAAGGATATGACTATTTTTGCCACAGATTTTCTAGTGAGCAACAAATACCCACACTCCTCTAATTTTCTCACAAATTTCACATTTCGTGGATCTACTCCCAAAATTTTTCCTTCCACAAACTAGAAAGATACAAAGGACTACCATGGCTAGCCCTCCAAGGCCAATGCAAGTGGTACAAAATTAGGATCCATTTGAAGCATATTACCCAGCAATAGACAAGTGGTTTTTGGCTAATCCACAATATCTAGTCATAACAGATGCTGCCCAATTTTTATTTTTACATAAGAAATCTATTACAGCTGCACAACTAGCCAATTCCAACAGCAAATTTAATTTTATCCAGCAAATGGAAAAAGTTCTCCACCAAGTCAAGACACAAATTTCAGGTCAATAATGTCAAGCATCTTTGTTTGAAAAATCATCATCATCATCAGAAGACCTTGATATAATTTTCTAAGAAAATAATCAGAGATTACATCAGCATGACAACATATTGACAACACAGCTAGCATCATTCACGATATCAACAAGCACTTACTTCTAATGACATCATCTTTGACATTAGGAAACACTATCTTTTTTAGTTTTAGGCTATAAATAGTCCCCCCATCACTTCTAAAAATACAGCACATTACACTACCCCCTTGAGAAAGAATTCTCTCCCCCTCTCTAGAATTGGTTAGAGCTTACTCCCTCTAGCATACCGATAAGTGTGGATTTTAACCACTTACTAGTACCTTCTTGCTTTAGTTTTAGTCCGAAAGTGTTGATTCTTGTTCCCAAATTGATGAAATTGTGCAAATTGAAGGCATGTTGGAGGATTGGACCTTAACAAAGATTTCTAACTAAAAAAGGAGTATTCAGGCTAAAAAAGGCAAGAAGGAGTACATCAGGAAAAAGTGCGGTCCGCAGATGAAAGTGCGATCCGCAGAAATACACCTGCGACCGCAGAGAAGGCACCTGAGCCTCAGAGGAGTTTAAACAAGTGTGGTCCGCGCACCAAATTGTGCGGCCGTAAAATTTGGTCACACTGACATGATTGGAAAAGTTCAAAGAAGGTGCAAAAATACCAAGTATGAAGTCTCGCTAAAGTGCGGTCTGTAGATGAAAAAGTGCATCCGCAGAAGCTGAAGTGCAGCAGCAGATGGAATAGTGCGGCTGCAAAATTCTTCCAACTGAAGAAGAGAAGAAAAGTGCAGACGGCACATGGAATTGTGCTGCCCCAGAACCTCGCGAAGGTCATTTTTGTTAGCGAATTTCAGGGCACTATAAATAGACAGGAAACTACTTTTTAGGGCAAGTTTTGTATTTAAAGTAGCTGTAGTAGTTATCGTTTACCCTTCTGGAAAAGTAGTGACAAATATTGGTGAAGATTCATTAGTTTTATCATTTAATCTTACTTTATGGATTTAATCACTTCTCCTACTTTATTTTCTTCACTTTCTAGTATGAGTAGCTAGATTTTTTCAAGGTTTGTGACCCAACCCTAATGTGTAAACCTTATGGGTTATTAATTTTAGTGCTTGTTTATGATTGAGTATTTATTACTTAGCCTTGTTTATGCATTATTTCTAGAAATAATAGTTGCAAAATGTGATTCATGCCTATTTGACTTGGTTCTTACTTGAGAAAGAGGGACTTAATCTAGGAAAACTTGGCTAACAAGAAATTGGGCCAGTTAAGGTTTTGGCTAGTCTAATTAAAGGGTCTGAACTAGAGATAGAGAAAACCCGACTTGAGCTCGTATCAACTGTTTGAATTGATACCCAATTGGACTTGAGAAAGCCAATATGGGCATAACCACTCTATATACGAGAAGTATTGAGCAGGTACTTGAAAATTGAGAGTTATAGTACACCTCGATCAATAAAACAAGCATTAACGTGATTTATCCATTAGGTTAGCACCTAGGCGAATGTTACATCCCTAGCTTTTTCCCAATTGATTAAAAACATCAAAAACAATTATTCTCTTTCTAGTTAATTGCAATTAGTTTAAATCTCTTAGTTTTAATTAGGAAAACAAACACCCTTTGTTTGGAAGCGCAATAGAGTCATTTCACCTACTCTCATCAAATATCTACCCTATCATCTTACACAAACTCTCTGATGAATTCGACCCCGACTCTTGTATCAACGACCATGTTCACTCACTATTGAGTGCGGATTGGACGTGGATCGCATACTATTATAAGTTTTTGACTTGTAACATCAATTTCAGTTTGAATAACAATCAAGTTTATATTACTCTTGCATTATGGTTGGCTGAGCCACCTAATTTATTTTATTGCATTTTATTTATATGATCGGCTCTACCGCTTAGTTTAATTATTGCACTCTAATTGTATTTTCTGCAGGTTTAGTTATATTATCGTCACTCGCTTCCTGTCGTTGCTTCTCTTTTATTTTCCCCTAATCTTTTAGGGGCTTCACTTTCGGCCTCATTGGTGTGTGTATGGTTAATTTCTTACGGAATATATATTTTTAGTCGCTCCAAAAAATAATAGGTTTTGTATATGTGTATATTGTAACAAAGTATACATATTTATATATTCTTTGGCTAATGAATGTAATTAGTTCAGCCGACCGGTCAATTTTATATTTTGTACTTATTTTTTTGGTAGGCGATTGTTGAAGTTAAATTTCTTAATCTGATATTTAAGTGAAGATAAGTAGAGGGATGAAATTTCAAACCGTCCAAACTAAATAAAATGTTGGTTTGCTTTTGCAGGACAAAAGGCCCATCAGATGTTAAGTGGGATAGATGGTTTCAAGGAGCCAATGGGTCAAGACGTAACAAACGGTGGATCTGAATTTCCTTTTTAACCAAAATACCAAAGAAATTAAGTAAAATTATCTTGATTTTCCTTTTTATATACATACAATCAGATATTTTTATTTGTATATTTGATTTTTACAATGTTGTATAAGGTGTCATGTTAAAAGATAAGTGAGAAAAAACGACCCCAAGGGCCAACATTACTCAAATTGGTCCTTACAATATTATACCGAAGTGCTAATTAAGACTTGAGAATAGAATGACCACCTTCGAAACTTAGAACGGCTGGCCTGTTTGGCTACTAGAACGGGGAGAGGGAGAGTCATGCCCATTCTCTATTCGGGCACGATCAAGAATATAAAAAGAAATGAAAACCGAAAATCTTTTGATGAATAAAAATGAAAATAATATGAGTTAAAAGAAGTAAAATATTGGGACCGGCCCCGAGTTAGAGAAAATTTTGATGGAATTTTTACATTCCTATGCCATATAGTAAACTATATTACCATCCATGCCTAACTTTTAATATAATTACCTTTTATATACCTAATTATCATTTATGTACATTTTAGGGGTTTTAATGGTATTAATTAGGGGTGGACATTCGGTACTTCGGTTCGGTATTTAAAGATTTCGGTTCGGTATTTCGGTATTCGGTTTATCAATTGTGTATACCAAATACCGTACCAAAGCAGTTCGGTACGGTTCGGTATTTCTTACTTTGGTTCGGTACGGGTTCGGTATGGTTTCGATTTGATACATTAACAGAATAGCTAGGGCGAAGGACCTTAAACCTCAGACCATGTCACCAAAGGATAAGTAGGAAAAGCCACTGTTAGCCTTAAAATGAAGTGCTCATTGCCCAGTAACACACTTCCTTCAATCAAAACCAGAATCAAACTATATTCCAATCAAAGCCACTGTGATCCTCCGTGTTTTATTAAGCTTAGGACTGTAAAAGAAAAGCCACAAGTTCCAGGCATATAGAGCCAAGACAGCAACAACGAAGTACAGAAACTAGCCAACAAAATTAACGAACTAAGCAACTAGCCAACTAACGAGGCTAATTAAAGTACATAAACACAGAAAGCATCATAATTAAAGTACATTAAAGAATTCACACAGATGACTAGAGAAGTTGTCCATCCAAGCACCTCGGCGCCGAGGTCGTGAAGTCCAAGTGACGATCTGTTCTTCAATCGCAGCACTCGCAGTCACCGCAGCCGGTCTGTACTCTGTTCTTAACTTGTTTGAGAAAAGAAACCTAATTCTAACTTAGAATAGAAAGTGACTAAGAGAGTAAGGGCAGAGTAAGAGAGACTAAGACTTGGGCTTAGTCTTATTGGGCTAGAAATAGAAACTTGGGCTGGGCTTGGGCAGTGTAGGTAGGACTAGGATAGCTAGATAAGAAATACATAAATAATTTGGTATTTTGGTATACCGAAATATCGAATTCTTAATACCGAGAACCGTACCGTTATACCGAATAACCGAAAATTTAATACCGAGTTATACCGAAATACCGAAAAAATCGAAACCAAAATACCGAATTAATTCGGTTCGGTTCGGAATTCGGATTTTCGAATTTTATGCCCACCTCTAGTATTAATTAGTCTCCTAATTTAACTCTACCGTATATTCCCACTTCCCCCACGTTTCTCTCTCCAAATCCCACCCCCTCACCCACGTATCAAACCACACCCCACGATTTCCTCTTCAATCACCCATTATTTTCTTTTCTAAAACCAGCGAAAATCTGTAACCCCTCCATTAACGCCTATTCTCAAGTTCTTTATTCTAAATCAGTCAAAATTTCTACTATTCTTCAAAGTTCATTCACCCATTAACGACCAGCTTCAAAGATTTCAATGAAGAAGAACAGAGCTTCAATGAACAACCCTAAAAAAGTTAAAGAAGCAGATGTTCCTTCTTTCGATTTGGGTGTTTTATCACCACATTCTTCGAAAAAGCATGAAAAATCTGCTCATGCAAATGAAGAGAAGAAGCATAGGCTTTCCCCTCGTCTAGCTAGGGCAGAAGCTAGAATTAAACAAAAATATAATTTTGATGCTGATGAATCTTCGAGGTAAATCAATTCAGCGAAAAGGAAAGGCAAAGAGATAGATTTTGATGATGATTTTGTAGAAGATGGTCATTAAACCTGCAAAGAAAGTTAAAGTGTCTCCTACTGTAAAAGCTCCAAAAAAGCTCCTACTGTAAAATTTCCTAAAAATGTTCAAAAACATTCATTGGTGAAGGTAAGAATTTAGTAATTTCAACAACAGTTTTTTGTTTGTTTTAATTCTTAAAAGGCTCCATAATCTGTGTTTTTTGTGGTTTGTAGATTATTTGACTACATTGTGAAGATTAGTTGTAGTTTTCTGAATCTGTTTAAACTTGTAGATATATTGTAAAAATTTATAGTTATATTGTTTTTGTTTTTAACTGCATTATGTAGTTGTAGATATATTGTATGACAAATGTAGATATGTTTTTTTTAGATTGGAGCAGTGTATTAATAAGAGATTATTTATTTTTTGTGCAGAATGGACATTTTTTTGCACCTCATAATGTTGATTATGGGGTCCTTAGGTTTCAGACATTATCCGACCCCAGTGTTCCTAGCCAAATTAAAGAGTTATTGTCTCCAAATGGTTTAAAGCTTTTCAAGAAGACATGTTTTGGTTATTTGCTGTCAATTCCCAAAATATGTATGCAAAACCAAGCTATACATCTTCTAATGAAGTATGAATTGAATGCGTCTGGTGCTTCGTATTTTTCAACTGAGTTAAAGGGTCAGAGGTTGAATTTTGGCTCGATAGAGTTTGCGTTAATAGCCGGTCTTAGATGTTTTACCGAAGTGACAGACTTTGGTTAGACTCCAGATTATAACAGTAAGATAATAAGGAGTTATTTTCTAAACAAGGAATACCTAAAACAAATTGTAACCAACGAAAGCTTGGTAAATGATGAGGACGCAGTCAAGTTATGTATTCTATATCTCATAGAATTCTTCATCTGTCCTTCAGACAAAGACAATGTTGGGTTGGTAGACCATTTTAGACAAACAGTTGATTGAATCAGTTAGGCACATGCTCAATCCTTTTGTTCATTCTTATCTCATTCGCGGATTCCCACTAGCTATGCAAGTATGGTTGTATGAGTGTTGCTCTACCGTCAACACCGATATAGCTATAAGAGTTGCTAACTCAATCCCTCGCATACTTAACTGGTCAGCTAGTACGGACAAGATATGGTTAGCTGCAATTGAAGATAGAATGATCAAACATGAATGGATCAAGGTAAATGGTTTTTATTTATGAATATACAATTTAATACAAATTATCTACAATTTGTATACATATTCTGTTTAGTCAAGCTAATTTTTTTTTTATTCAGTTCACCAACATAACTGAAGCACCTGAAGAGCTTTCTATGATGTCTTTGCCTGATAAAGTTGAGTACATACTTGAAGAAGTCACATTTCTGAGGATCCGAAAGTTGCTGCTCCTCCATTGGAACCAAAGAGTCAATTGGAAAAGAGGACAAAAAGTCTATTCTTAAACAAATTAGAAAACTAAAAAGAGGTCTTGAGAAGGTAACGTGTATACATAAAATTGCATATGTTCTTTAATGTATGTTAAGCCATATTTTGAAGCTAACTCTCTATATTTTTAATATGTAGGTCGATTTAGATGTTACATCTTTCAGGAAAGATGTCTTTGAAGAACTAGGTAGCCTTTGAGCGCTACTAAATGAGTCAAACAAGGTTGTTTTGCAGGTGATAAACAGTCGAAATGATAACATTGATGCCATGGTAATATTTGAAATTTATTCATTTGACAAAACTATTTCTGTCACCTCTAAGTTATATTGTTATTCATAAAATAGATATCCTAATTAATATAAAACTTTCAGTTTGCTGGGAGTTCTACAAAAAATGCCGACCAACCAAAAGAAAAGAACAATCAACAATTTCAATGCACTAGTGGAGAACCAATGCATGCCAGCAGCAGCAAAACAAGTATATACAAAATACATACATTTTATCTACAAATTATCTACAAGTTATCTACAAGTTATCTACAATATATCTACAACATATCTACAACATATCTACAAAATATCTTCAAAACATCTACAATATATTTACAGCATATCTATAATATATATACAATTAAATACAGTATATTTACACAGATCTACATAGTTATGTAGATCTCTATAATATACCTACATATCTCCTAAAACTGCCAAGCAACTACTATCTACTATAATTCAAATTCTTTAATGAAAAAACAGGGCATGTGAATGACATGGAAAATAATGAGAATCTTCCAGCACGTGTTGATTTATATTCCCATTTTGAAGGTGCAGTTGATGAAGAAAATGCAGGTATGAAATTGTATTCAGAAATTTTTGCTTTCTGTTTCAATTTTTTTACAATTCTATTAAGCTAGATATACTAAATGTAGCAGTGAGGGAAGATATGCATGCACAATCTCCAATTCACGGAGTCACAGTAACAATTCAAGGAGAACAAAAGAATGAGGAAGATGTTAATGTAGGTGAAGAAGCCGAGTATGTAAATGTAGGTGATTCGGACGACTCCAGAGGTGAGAAGAAGGAAGTTACGCTTGATGATTTTGAGCTGCCAAATAACTTCTCCCAGTTGGTTAAGTTCGGCGAGCCTAACCAAGATGAAACAACACCTGTGCATCAAGGTAGAACAAGGCAGCCTGGAAAGCATGCCCGATCACCATTTCTCCCTTTATACAGTTCTGGTGGCAGCACTTCGGTTGGACCTCAAATTTTTCACGTGAAGTACCCATTTACTAGTGTTATTGGTCAAGATGTTGATCCTGAGTTGTTGGAAGAATTCAACAAGTGGTTATACCTTGGTACCGACACAGCTTCAAAGAGGTTAGTTTACATAATTTGACCCTTTGATTCCAGTATTCATCTTTTAGATATCTACTTCATTCAACAAATTTATTTTAATTTCTATTTGTTTAAATAGGAGGAAGGCTCCGTATTCTATAAAGGATAACCAAATTAAGCCATGCTTTGATCTTGGAGTGGAAAAGGTTGATAAGAAGGAGTGGTTTTATAGTTTGGCACACCTCGGACAAGTCCTCAACCACTCGGTAAACTCATACTCAAAATATGTATTTATTTTGTTGAACTTTTTTTTATTTGTATCTATAAC